GTGCCCTTTCAAATTAAATGTTTTGGTTGTCTTTTGTATGATACTGTTGCTATAAAAATTTAGCGAAGATAATACAGAACAAATGAGGTGTGGAACTCATTACTGAAAACATAGCCCAGAAATACACGGGGCTGATACCCATGTTTTCAAATCAGTGCAGTAGTCTATAGTAATACTTAAATGAACTTTTCAACTGGAACATAAAGGATTTATATTTGATTTTCAGAGTAACTTTTTGTCAAAGGGAGTGTCTGATTTTTATTCCCCCCCAGCAGGTTGTAGAAGTTCAGTTTTATTAATAGTTTTTATAGGTTCCCTAAACTGATAACCTAAGAAATTGTCATGTACTCTGCTTCAGTTGGTTAGGTACATAAATTCCAGTAGTTTATTGCAAATTTCTCAAACTACTGTTGTCCTGAAAGCACAACTAAGATGACCTATTTACTTAGGTGGTTCTTCTTGAAATTATCTGTGTGGTAGTATGTTTGTTGTCTTGCTTACTGTAGTATGGTATGTACAGGTCAAAAGTGTATGGAGGGTGGTTTGAGAGGTACCGTGACCTCTCTGTAAACATGCCTGTTGGTGCTGTTCAGCAAATGAAAGCAAATAAGGAAAATGGGAGAGGTGCATGTGTATGCAATTCAAAAAAGGGGATTTAGTTCATCCCAACTGTATAATTAAAGGTCATGTTTCTGGCTGTGGCCTTTATCTGAAGCATCTTTGTGTAAGGAGAGGAAAGATGCTGCCTCAAATAATGGAAATTTTTGTGCTCTGAATGAGCACAGTGCAGAAAATACCAATAGTTCACGTGGCTGTTCCGCCAATATATTTGCACACTTGCAGTTGCTTGTGACTGTCCCTGAATATCAATCTTGCTTATGTCCAACACTTGATTCTGAGGGCAACCTAGCACACAACATAAAATGCAGTGCTTTAGGTCTATCTTTAAATTAGAAGAGCAGGGAGGATGGAAGATCAGCTTCAATGTTGGTGACAGTTCACAAGTTGAAGATACAGATTATTAGGCGTAGGAGAGCGATGCCTTATTTAAATATGTTCTTTAAATTTAAATGTGCAAAGTATTTTTTGTAAATATACAGTTCATCAGTTCATGTTCCATGTGAACACTTTTTAAATTTCTGCTGTACTTTCACGAGACCACATGAATACTGTTCACATAGTTCATGTCATGCAGTACGTAAGAATTACCATAGGAAACTTTGTGATGGCAATACTGCATTTCTGGTACCGAGTTGCACCTTTCAGTCTGTCAGTGGCTGCAAGGGACTTGGCAGCCTGTCTGAGCATACCAAGCAAACACATAAAGAAGGGTGGGTAGGAGTTTGATTTGTCTTCATTCGTCCAGTTATACATTTGGACAATGTTTACAGCATTCTGCAGCTCTTGATCATCCTGGGATGTGCATCCAACAAGAAATCCTTATTGTCAGCTCAGATAAGAGGTGAGGGCTGTTCTAGGCTATTCTCTCTTTGCAGTGACATACCCGAATGTGAACTTGGATGAAGAATCAGTTACAACTCAGTTATAGGAACATTTTGAAGCCCTATAAGCCATGTTGTGTAAAAGTATATGTGCTTCTAGTTTTCTATCTTAGATTTAATCTTTTTTGTTGTTGTTCAGATTTAGGTATATTTTCTTCATTTTTTTGGCCCCAAAATTGTTTCATATGAAGCTCAAATCAATATTTCTCCTTGAAGATCATTATTAAAAAAAGGTTGGTTGGTGGGGGTGTTATTGTTTGTTCGTGGGTTTTTTTTTGGCTAGGCTGATAAAACTGCTATTGTGACTAGAAGTCTCTGTTAATGAGCATTAGGGTAATGGGTATTTACAGAAATTAAATACAGGTTGCAGAATTAAGATTGCATTTTTTTGGGATAAATGGTGATATATTTAAATGGAAGTGTGTTTATTACAAAAAGGTTTTTGGTAGTGATGTAACTTCATTAAGTCTTTCCCAGCAGAGCAGGCCAATCTTACTTGCTCTGGTATTTCTCCTCAAACAGCCTGGTGTTAAATTAACACAAGTGACAGTAACTTGATGGTGTAAATTAGTCACTGTGGTGGCAAGGGATAGAGCATCTCTGTCAGTAAATTGAGAATTTACATACTGTTGCAGGCTTTCCTAAAGATTACATGTGACTTTTTCTGTAAGATGATTGACTACGTTTGTCTGACCGTAGCTGCTGTTACTCATTGTCTGTGGGCTACCATTGTTTTTCCCTTTGATTCACATGAAGTGCACGACTGTGCTTTTTAGAGACATGAGTAAGTATGGGTGGAAAGTTATATTATTATAGGTCTTTATTTAAGAAAATATCCCAAGCCTGATTTGGTAGCTGCTGAAACATTTTGCCTCTTCCTTCTCCCACCCTGCTCCAGCATGATAAATTATTGTTAGGTGTAGACATGGTTGGAACCAACAAAGAGAACTTTCATGGGAATAGCAGCACTCTAGACAGCTAACAACAAGAATTGATGGAATTGTCATTTTACATACTAAAGATTTTCTTAAACATAATTTTTAAAGCTGTTCAAATTTTTTTAAGACTTAGTGCAGAAAACAGATTGTTCCTGTTGCCTTGATCAGAATATTTTGATAATGAAAATGTTGCATTTGATACTAAGTTTAACTGAGTCTAGGGTAGAAGATAGAGGATGTTCGAACTGTGAAATCTGAAGGGATGGGCAATGAAAGCTTAGTGGTCTTGCAACTCTGAAGGGCTTTGCAAATCAGTCAGTACCTACAGTGGACTTCGTCCTCGATGATTTTTGTTCCATCCATGACCAAGGCAATGAACACCAAGGCAGTGGTATTAGTTCCAGTGCTTGTTAAAATACTACTGTTTTTTCCCCTTCCAAACAGATACTAGTTGTGGCCTTGGGGGACCTGTGTTTTTATGCTGTGAAAAAGAAGACATCAGCAAGAACACTTTGTAATTCCATGCTTATTAGCGATTTTTTTTCCCAACAGATGGGAGAAAATCCTGTTGTTTTTTTACTTGGAAGAATTTAAATTTGGGTCCAGGACATGTGATTTCAGGCTATTAAAATCTAAGATGCTAAAATGCCTTTGAAAAAATTATAATTTGAAATTTAGTCTCTCTCTTAAGGGTATGTTAACCGTAGGCTTTCTGAATGAAATATGGATGTAAAAGCTGGTTGTGGCTTCCTTGTGACTGAAAGATTTGGCTTCTAAATGGGCAATCACTCTTACAAAATTCCTCCTCTTGTTATTTAATTAGTTCCTTCTCCTGAATTTCAGAAGACTAGTATCTTGTTTGCAAGAGACACTATGTGATAAAGCACAGCAGTGACAAGGACTGTGATTAATATGCTGCCCAGTCCACAGTTTGGGAGAAATCTCTGAATTCCCAGTAAAAGTGTGTCGTTTAGACCTATTTTCTGAAGAACAGAGCTGATTTTCAGTGTACTGGTATAATTGATATGTGCATGGCTCAGAGCTCTTTAAAGGCTTTTCCCCAGGATTTTTCTGACTAAAAAGAACTTCAAATACAGTCTTGTGTGAGTTCTTTCAGTCTTTGTGAAAAGAACTGGGTTTGCTCAAGGAATGGTTTTGCCTTTCTAAGTGGTTTCTGGTGGTTGTCCAGTTCCTATGGCTTGGAGTAGATTGACAACGTGCTGACTGAGGTCAAGTGAACAAGCTTAGAGCAGCTTTGCATTACAGATCTCTAAATGATTTGTACAAAATTCACCCTAGAAGTCTTTATTTTGTAATTCATGCATTTGTTTCGTAATGCCAGTGGTGTTAATTAACTCCACTTCAGTATTAGTATGAAATACTCTGGAAGAATCTAAGCATTTTGTGAATACTTTATACTATTCTGAACCAGCAAAAAAGACATTTTTGTTAGTTGATAGAAGGTTTCTTTTACTGATGAACCATTACTGAAAATTGTCAGTAATGTCACACATTGTGTATACATACCTCTATAGCTTAAAAAGCCTATTGAGTAGTAATGTAATAAGCATATGCCTTTCAAAAGTTTAATTAGTGTTTACATCTTGGTTTAGAATAAAGCATTTCTAATAATATTACCAGGAGGAGTGTTTTAAAAACATGGATTGGTATAATTTGTTCAGTTGTGCTACAGTGACTTGGTTATCTGACAAAACACTACATGAAGGTACTAAAATTACTCTGGATCACTCCTGAATTAAGGATTTGTGAATATGAGTTCTGTACTTACTTCCTCCAGTTTAAAATGAAAGGCTTAAATTACTTGGTGTCAAAAGGAGTGAAGTCTCAATTCAAGATCAATATTAAAAAGAACTGCACCAAAAGGTGGCAGGATTTTGCCTGTGAACCACTGACAACCAGCTGAAGCATGTTCTCCTTGGCTTAAGAGCCTTTCTGGAAAGTGCAGGAGGTGGCTGTGTGGCCTGCCTTGCCTTACGTGCTCCACGCAGGATCAAGGAAAGCTGCCAGAGGGTTCATAAGGTCTCTTCTCTAAGGGTAGCAGAGCATGCTTGGGTGGAGGAAAGCTGCTTGTAGCGCTGTGCCTGAGACATCCCATCAGGAGGCCAAAAGCAAGCAGACAGGCTGTTGTTATTGGGCACCTACCTGGGCCTCAGAGATGAGTCTTGTCCTGGAAATACTCAAAGTTTTTCCTTCTCACTGCAGCACAAAGGGACTGTAAGGCCATGGTGGGCAGGAGGGGGTAAGCAGACTACAACCGCTTTGTGAAAAGTTTGGTTTACTTTGTGGTGTAATGAAGCCAGTTAAATTTAGGAAGTTTGGGCCATAAAGAATAGGGGATAGCAATGATGCCTTAGAACTCTGCTTATGTTTGGTTTCTGTCACAGAAAAATAATGAGAAAACATCTATTTAAAAAATAGATGCGCTGATTTTGTTTTTCTGTGAAGCATGAGTTAACCATATGGTATCTTCTACCTGTGGTGGTGCTCTGTGAATTGCAGATACCCATGAACTTTGCTGACTGTCTGATGTGTTTTTCAGAACTTTGCCAAGAATATTTTTGCAATTCTTCAGTCGGTAAAAGCTAGAGAAGAAGGCAGAGCACCTGAGCAAAGACCTGCACCAAACACAGCCCCAACGGTAAGAGCAGCACTTGAATGAACATGACGGCTTTGACACCACAAGTAGCAGTGTCTTGTCATTATTAAACACAAAATCTGTTTTGGTTTAGTTCCAATGAATGCACAATCTTCAACCATAACTTCACAGATGTTTTCTGACTTACATTACACTTACTGGTATTTAAAGAGTTGAATATCTTATTTAAGTTTGTTCATTGTGTTCTTGTTACTTAAAGATTAAACTGCTAGTGCCAGCTTCTGCATTTATCAAACACTAGCGACAACCTGTATGCATTTGCAAAAAATGTATTAGAGGAGACTGTTGCCATTTCAAACAAAATGTTTTGCTGTTTTTCTGACAGGGTAGCAAATGTTGTAAGAATCTGGAACATGACTCATGGGTGGGAACAGGTTGAACCAGCTTTCTTTTGCCTGTAATAAATGAGAAGGGCAAACTTAGAGCTTTATTGCTTAAGTCTATCTAGGTATTAGACAGGATTTGTTTTGTATTGTGGTGTGTACTATTGAGTTCTATTAAACTTAATGTATTCCTGAACTCAGTGGCAGTCTGCTATAAAAGCTATTTAATATTACTTGGATTTGATTTTGCTGCTACTGCGTTTAAGAAAAAACTACATTTAAATAGCAAGATGAATTCCAACATTTAAATATTTGCTTTGTGTTGAATCTTGGAAATTATGCATGCGACTATTTAAAAGTCCCATTCAGAGCAGTTGTAAATATATAACAGCCATCCACAAAAAAGATCGAATTTGTATTTAGTGTGCTTCCACATTGGTACTTTTTTCCCAAAAATGCCTTTTTTTTCCTCCAAATTTATTTTAATTCTGTATGATTAGAAGAACTTTAGCTTGTTCCTTGCCATCCTGATTATTTTGTGTGTGTGGCTGAAGGCTTAATCATGACAGTTTGAAGTTGTCAGTTGACAGTTTTTCTTTTTTCCCCTGCTAATTCTTGAGATATTACAAAAGCTTAGTGATTTCATAAAACTTACAGATTTTAGCTAATGTAGTTTGTTACTGCTACTTTAGTTTTCCCTCAGGTTGTTATCGTTGCTTTCACTATGTACTTCTGCATTCTGTTTCTGTAAATTGTAAGTGGATCTTGAAGGGAAACATATTAAAAGTTTGTAAATGCATTGAAACTCCTATGAAAGTGAACTAATTTTATACTCTTGAGCAGTTCCATGTAATAATTTATGAAGTTAAAAAACCATCAAACATCTTTCAGTATGTTTTACAAATCTTATTTAACTTGTTTTAGGATCCCACTTTACGAAATAAGCAACCTATTCCAGCTGCTTACAACAGATACGATCAGGAAAGATTCAAAGGCAAAGAGGGTAAGTTGATTGGAATGCTGCTTTTAAAAGAAAAAAAATGGGGAAGTGAAACTGATGAGTGTTAAAGCATGGATTAGGGAATTTTCTGTGACATTACTTTTCAGACCTAAAACAAGACCACAAAAAGTGTGTAACTATGCATAAAGATAGCTTTTCCAAGTAATAAAGTCTGAAAATATGTATTTGAAATTATTTTTACCTCTTAGGAAGCAAACTGAAAGCTTAGTTAATTAAGTTAATTTGCAGAACTGCAGATATGACTGTCAGATACATAAAATCAAGTAGATTGTCTGTCCTCAAACAATCACAATTCTATTTAAAGATACTTCCAGTAATTACAAGTAAATATTACTAGCTTGTTATATCTCTTTAAATTACAAAATAAACACTTACCAACAGTATAAAATACTACCTCCCTTCTGGAGAAATAATCTACAAGATTTAAGAATTCTCACTTATTTAAAACAGAGCGAAAGATTGAACTTGAGTGATTTGTCTTTCTAACTGTCTAATTTTTCTTCTGTCCCCCTTTTTTTATCTTCTGTTTTAGTACTAGTTCTGGCTATTTCATGTCAGTGTTTTGCTTTGCTCTTATTTTGCAAGTCTTGTGTTTGTTGTGATTGGATGTTTTTGTGTTTCTTGCAGAGGGAAAAGCAAAATTTGTTACACTGCTGAGTTACTCTTCTTTTTCATTCTCAAAATCATTCCTGTCTTTAATGAATTTCCTATGCATGCTTCTAAGAGCTTTCTTTTCTGGTTGCAGAACTTACATGCTGCTAAATGCCTTTTTAAACTGTAGACGAGCAATTTAGCTGGCATCTTTTAGATTATTTGGCTTTGTCCAAGTTAGTATCATTTTTTTTGTTCAGGGAAGCTGAATAACTTTCATATGTTGTGTATGTGAATTCTCAGATTTTGTGGAAGTGCTGTGCTATAGCTGATTGATTGTGTTCAGTTTTATATTGAAATGACATCATTTTTGCTATATAAATATAAAGCAAAACTATATTACAGTACTACTAGGATATGCAGTTTTGATTGTAACTGAAGAAAGAAAAGCATAAAATACAACACCAGGGAGAATTTGATGCTGTAAGAAATTTGCAAAGGTTATTTTTTCCATGTACCTCATACTGGATAATGTACAAGGATTACAGAATCTGACTGTAGCCATCTGTGAAGTTATTAAAAACCAAAAGATAAATAGGCACTTAGATGTGAATACATCCTTTAGGTTTATGTGTGGGTTTTTTTTTGTTGTTGTTGTTTTTGGTTTTTGTGTGTGTGTGTGCGAAACTTACTACAGGAAATTTGGTCAGATATTCTGTTACATCCTTTTGAAATATTCTGTTACATCCTTTTGAAGTCTATTTCCTGTTGGCCTCAGTATACTTCTATTTCAGTGCAGTGATATTTATTTAGTACTACTCACTGTCCATTGCATGGTGGGTAGGAGAAAAAAGCAAAAGCAGGATATTTGCTAGCTTTTTAGTATTGAAAAATAATCTACAAATAGCATCCCTGAAGAATTTGTTGTTAGAACAAGAGCCAAGGGAATCTGGCAAAGAAAGGAAGGAAAAAAAAAACCCACCAACCAACCACCACACACGACCCCACCTCAAACCAACCCTTCTATGAATATTTTTGCTAATATTTGTTCAGTTTGCTTCTGATAATATTTTAAATCTTCAAGACTCACGTATTTGCCAAGTAGTTTTCCTTTTACTACCATTTCCTAGTAAGAGTTAAAAGTAATATCTATACTGGTCAGTACGAGATGAAAGGTTGAGAAAGGAATTAATGGACAAACATAACAGTTCAAATGTACCAATGCACATAATTCATTTTGAACTCTTGTACAACAAGAAACTTAGGTTAAGGAATGGTCTGTGTCCTTCTAGATGACAAATTATGTAGTTCAAGAAACCTTGTAGACAACATCTACACTAAGAATTTGAATATATTTTTTTGCTTTTACCACATGTGTATGGTTCAAGAGGGAATGGGAAATCACAGGTTTTGCATGACGGGAAAAAACCCCAAAAAACCAGAAGAGTTTGTCTAGCAGCTCACCAGTGTGGGTTTAATGTAGAAATTTCTGAGTGGAAATCAGAGAATTAAATTATTTCATGGGGAAAATAAAAATGTTTCTGCCTGTAATTAATTATCTGCGAAAAATGCATTTGTATGCTATGTGATTCTGAGAATGTGGTCTTGGGGTTTCTTTCATTCTTGAAATGGACCAGGCTGGGCTGTAGCTTTTGTTCCACTTGAAAGGTGCTTTTGTGATGTGGTTATGAAATGTCTGAAACAGTCATATTCTACCTGAATAGTTATCATTATCACTGCTTCTTTCTAGGACATGTTTATGTGTCATAACATTTCAGTTACTTTATATTTGGTTTAGTCACAGACAGAGTTAGTTCCATATTTCAGTTTTCAAGGTGTATTTAAAGAAGTACTTTGTTTAAGAATAGCACTGGTGTAATACCAAGTTAGTTAAATGTAGGCTAGCATTGGAAATACAAATCAAGTGTTCAAAAGAACGTTTTTCAAATACAAGATTGACTTATGAAAGGTACTGATGCAGCATTTATGGAAGTTATATAGAATTAATAATTAACAGCTGGATTTCTTAGTCAAGGACCAAGAGCTATCTGGGCTGCCAGTGCACACTGCTGGCTCATGTCCAGCTTTTCCATCAGTACCCCCAAGTCCTTCTTCTCAGGGCTGTTCTCAGGTCATTCTCTGATGAATCCTTCTCAGGGTTTAAAAATCTTGTGCCCAAATGTCACTTGGTGCTTAGAAAGGTATGACGTGTCCTCTCTTGTGTGTCTCAGTGTTTGATATTTACATGTAAATTCACATGTATGGTTTGCAGCTCAGCTGGTGCTATACCAAAACCTTGAGATAATGTGATTGTTCTATAGGACATTCTAGGTATTATACTCTTCTGGATGCTATACCTGTTTGGTTTTTTTTTTTCCCCCAGTTTTTTGGGTGGCTTTACCTGAGATCCTCCTTTTCACATGCTTGTTTAATCATTAATTCCAGAGTGTGAAATAGTCCTGGGATGATCATGTTGAAGGTGTTACATTTTCTTTACCCACTGAGTGCATCTCTCAGCATAGGTGGTAAAGTTTCTCTTTGCTGCGCCATGTTCGAGGAGCATTGTACTTGTTTGCCTGGTATTGTGGTCAAGGTTTCAGTGTTAGCAGAAGCCAATCATTATTTAAAAAAAAGAAGGGCTGGGGGTGGGGAACAGCCAAAAAACCCCCACCTCAAAATCTGAACTTTTACTCCTGTTGAGTGTAAACTTGGATATTGGAGAGGGTCTTGCTGTACAGCCACGTTTTCAATAATGGTGAAAAGAATATTGTTTACCCCATTCAAATGTTCCCTTCAGAAGAGTTTGCTATTGACTTCCTGCTATTGGTATTTTACGTTTGAATTATTCTTGCAATTGTGTTGGATATTGAGACATTGCTGCAGTTCTTCAGGCGTACGTCAAGCTTTCAGTCAGCTCTAAGTGTTAAGCCTAGGCAACAGAGGATGAAGAAGCCTTTAAACTTGAGGTGGCTGGATCACAAGTGTCGTTTCGTTTTTTTGGTTTTTTTTCCCTCTCTCCGGTGCATTGTTAAAGAAAGTTTCTGTATAAAGTATTTTTCACTATAAGTATTTTCTCTTAAATTGTGTGATTTCTGTTCACACAAGGAGAATAGGAGAACTGGTAGTAGGAGATCCAGAGTTCTGAAAATTGACTGCCTTGTTAGACTATTATTTATTGCATTTATTTATAGCTATAGGATTCTGCTTTTTCCTAGCAGAGAATATATGCAAGAGATTCACATTTGTAAAAAGATTGTGGTTTCTATTTTCTTGCTTGGTGCATTCACGTAGTTGGATAACTTTCAGCACTGGACATTCACTTCAGTGCTGGAAAATATACACAGATTCATTCTGTAGTTTTTTATTACTATGAGAAACTTTTAAGAACTTTTAAGAAACTTACTTGTAAGATTATTACCGAACTGTTATATATGAAGTGTGAAGAGGATTTTATAAACTAATTAGTGTAGCTTGGAAATTTAGGCGTGAAACTTAAGTTTTACTTGTTAGGGTATAGTACTAAAAAGCAGTGTTCAGTAAACTTATGTAAAATGTAATTTGGTGTCAGTCATTTAATTACCACGGGTGTGAAGTGGGGTAGTGAATCATTTCCAGGCAGTCTGCAGAGCTGTTGCTATCTGGAGTTTGGAGCGTGTATAGCTGAAAAAAGTGTTTTTTCAATATTACTCATTCACAGTTCAAACAAAGTCTTTAACTGGAGCTCTTCAATGTTTGAGAGACATTCTCCTGTCATTCTGTTTGCCTAGACTTCCTTCCAGAAATTCAGGTTAATTTGATTCTTTTTAAAGCTGCTATTCTTTTGGTAATGTACTCAAGTTTGTACCTGAACTGGTTGGCTATGGCTGCAGCAGGTAGAGAATCAAAATGCAGAATAACCTAGATGGACATAGTGGACATTAAGCAAAAGGAGCGTGCTTTGAGCTTTAATACTCTAATGCACAGAAATGGAGCATATGCCCAAATGGTGACAGAGAATATGATCAGTCCAGTAAGCTGATGCATGAAGGTGCATATTTTCATTTCCAGGTCTAATTCTTTTAAATGAGAGAAGGCGCTCAGGTTGAGGAATGGTGATGCTAGAAAGGGAACTAGTGATGAACCACACTGGAAAAGTATGATTCTTTTGCCAGTTTTGGGTCACTGAGCTGTGAAATTGTGATCATAATACCTTCAATGATTGAAGAAGAAAAGAGAGTCTTAATGTTAACTGATGGTAGTTTGTTTTTTGAAGCACTAGAATTGATTATTCAGTGCTAGTTACTGTGTTTAGTTTCTCAGGATGTAGTTTTCGAGATGTTTGTTGTCGGTGTTTTTAACAATGCATATGTTTATAAAACTGATTTGTATGTGGCAAACAAAGTTGCAATACA